TAGGAAGCAGTATCGTCAAGTCTGACTCGAATCTTAGTGAAAAGGAACCAGTGATCTTATCTGGACATCATCATAAAGTAACGCCTTTTGTCAGACATTACTACGACAAAATCAAATATCGAGATCGTCATATTACAGACAGAACAACTAGATCCGCAGGATTAAACGTTAAGGCGAAACGATTTATTTCGCCAGAGACTCACAAATATGTGACTATAGCAAAGTCAGAAGAGGACCATCTTCGATCGCCATCGCCTTCTATCAACGTTGGAAAAAATTGTTCTTACCGTTGCAACTACAAAAATGGAAAATGTACACAGATGACTATCCTATCGTCGGATACTTCCTTCTAAAGAATGAGAAACGGTGTCGTACCCAGTTTCAATTGGGATTTATATATTTTATATTCATATACGATTTCATCATTTAATAGTGATATCAGTCTGATATCAGACGGGGAGTGTGTTGCCTTGCATCCGCTAATTTATCTATATATTTTGTGTAATTATATTCACGATTAGTTTATATTTTTACGGAATTTAATCTAGACTTCACCGTACAACATTATATTGTTACCGTATCCTCGCATCCGTTTTTTGCAAATCTACCTTGCCACGTCTTATCACTGGACAAAGGACTGTCGCAGGTTTCATTCTTGATCACAATTGTGGCTAACCACAGTGTGAGTAACATTTGAAATATTATAGTTGATGCCCTCAAACTGTCCGTGATACATTTAACTGTGTAACAAAAGTATAAATTTATCTATTTTTATATTGGAAGCATTCCTTTGCTACATTCTGAACTACTCCGTTACTCCATACCGGATGAATCATTAACTTTAATAATATTATTTAACACATTGTAAAATTGTACTTTATTTTGTATTTTCAGTTATTTACCATTTTTGAATTGGTGATAAAATAAAAGTCAGCACCTGATTGTTTTATCTCTTAGTAAACCCAATCACCTGGTTTAAACTGACTGGTCGAGCAAGCACAGTCTTTTTCAATTGATTTTATAGTTTGTTCTTATGTTGTGCTGTTACACCACTGTCCCAGGTTAGGGGAGGGTTGAGCGTTCACAAACCTATTTTACCCCGCCACATTTTTTTATATGTCTGTCCCAAGTCAGGAGCCTGTAGTTAAGTGGTTGTCTTTGGTTCATGTCTGTCATATTTGTTTTTTCCCAAAATTTTTTGTTATAAATTAGGCCATAAGCTTTCTCAATTGAATTGTTTCATATTTTTAATGTCGGGGCCTTTTATAGCCGACTAAACGGTGTGGGTTTTACTCATTGTTGAAGGCCGTAACGTTGCCTATAATTGCTTACATCCACTTCATTTGAACTTTGGTGGATAGTTGCCTCATTGGCAATCAAACCTTATCTCCTTTTTTTATATTGTATTAACGCAAAAAAAAATGTTCTTTATTTTCTTTTTATTTTTTTTTATCACCAAACCATAAGGATCTAACATATAGAGTACACAAAATGCCTGTAGCAGATTTTACCATATCAGATGACGTTATACATTTTCTTGCATTTTGATACATCGGAAAAAATCAGCCCATATAGGATTCACATAGAGAAGAGGAAAACCACACTACATGAGATATATGCGACCAGTAATGATTTAAACACGTCCGTCCTTACTCACGCTATTAAACAAAATAAAATCATACATCTAGAGATCAACATACGGTTAAATACGGAAAAACAGGCGAGCATGTCTACATTTCTGCGGACCTTAACATTACAAAGGGCCACCTTTGTTTCGCCTCCCGTTGATTTAGAAGACTTTTAAACCTCATTCAATAAATAAAAGCTTTGGTTTGAACTGTAGTTTAAATAACAATATCCTTATTTTCAAATGCTAGTACTCAGAACTATTAAGAGACGACGAAGTACAATGTTGTATAGAAACTTGCCTACTGTTTAAATAATGTACTATGTTATTCTCTATATGTCTTTAGATGTTTTTCTCGAAGGATTGCTGTCTCATTGATCAATAGCCTCCATTTTTCGCATTTCAAACTTTTTGCCGTATCGACTTATTGTCTTTCATTCTTGTTTTGTTCATAAAATTATACAAAAGTGTTTCTCTAATGATTTCGTTTCTAAGTGAATTTCCCATTAAATGCACAATTAAACAAACACTCGTGTTAACCAAGAAAGTAATGAGTTTAATCTTTAATACACATTCAACCCCACCCATGAAAGTAAACCATTTGTCCTTAATATTGATCTCCCTTAAACGTTAGCGAATGCGTATCACACCACGTGATATCAGTTGTTACCATCTTTTAAAAAAAATATTCCACTTAAAACAACGCTGATGAAGAGAGGCGGAAGATACTAAAGTGAAATTTAACTCATAAAACGAAGCCAAACTGACACGCCATCTCTTAAACTATTCGCCAGTCAGGATTAATGGATGGATATGTGTTTATTGTCATTTTAGAAAATATAAAACAATTCAAACATGAGAACCAAAGATGTATGTTAAAACAATAAAATGACGGCACGTATATAATTTGGTGAGTTAAACATGTTTGCGAGGGCTTCCCCTCTAATCTGCAACAGCAAAACTAATAAACAAACTGTAAAAATCAGTTGAAAAGGGCTTGACTCATCAGATCTTCATGAAACACAAAAGCCACAGTTACTAGCAAAGATACAAACAGACAAAAGACTCCAAGTACTGATCTAAGAGTACTCGCAGTTACTCAAAACTAGTTCAAATCCAGCTGTTACAAGTAGAACAAAATCCTGTTTCCCAGACAAAAATATCGATCAGTGCACAACAAACAGATAAAGAATAAAGACGTGGTAAACAGCCTGTCAAAATCACAACGAAACAATATAAGTAATGACAAGAGGTAAGACAATAAGTCCTTATTTTATCCATTCCTCGTCCCTATTAATAAGTACTCGGAATGGATAAATATCCTGCCACGTCCGGTCTGTGTTTTTGTTTAATGGTTTTCTGTTTTTCTGCTTTGTATCGATCTGATGAGTCTTTTTCAACTGATTTGTAAAGTTTGTTCTTATGTTGTGCTGTTACACCACTGCCCCAGGTTAGGGGAGGGTTGAGCTCTCACAAACATGTTTAACCCCGCCGCATTCTTTATATGCCTGTCCCAAGTCAGGAGCCTATAGTTCAGTGGTTGTCGTTGGTTCATGTCTTTCATATTTGTTTTTCGTAAATTGTTTTGTTATAAATTAGACCGTTAGATTTCTCAATTGAATTGTTTCATACTTTTCATGTCGGGGCCTTTTATAGCCGACTATACGGTTTGGGTTTTGGTCGTTTTTGAAGGCCGTACGGTTGCCTATAATTGCTTACATCCACTTTATTTTAACTTTGGTAATCATACCACATCCCCTTATTATTATATTAAAGACTGCAAAAATGCATACAATCATTACAAAACAAAGGTTTGGAAACCAGAATGCTTTCAATCAGTCTAACATGTCTAAAGAAAATGAATTCCCAATATTCTGAATTTGTTATCCAAAACACATTGCAAATACCCAACCATAGGTAATACGCGTTCTTTTCAAATGGTAGAAACGATACCCTAATGATGACTGTGTTCTTTTTGAAATAGGAATTAATAATTCATGAATGCAATAAAAACATGGGTCTCCTCTGAAATACAGGCGTAGCTTGATTTTCACTGCTATCGCAATTACAATTTCAAAGAAGTGCTCTTGTTGAAACATCGTGTAGAAGAATTCGCAGGTTATGATTTGAATTGATTTTATTAGAAAGGTTGTGTAAGTTGCAACTTTGCTGGCTGCGATAAAATGCAGGTTACATTTGATATTGCTGTAACCGCAATAAATTGTCTTGATTGGTGCCTTTGGAATTTGTAAAACTTAAAAATAAAATTTCCAGAGGTTAACCTAGTTCGATTTTGAAGTACACAGTATAACTTAGGTACATATTTTTACCTGTTTTGGACGAAGGCCGTTTGAATTTCGCTGTTTCTGCAATTACCATTCTAGAATTATAATCTTGGATTATCAAAGTTTAGATAAAATGTTTTACGGAGAGTGTTTTAAGTTTGCGATGAAAAAGGATCTGGTAAACCAATATCTATGAAATTGAGCTAATTTAAAATATTAAAAATGGCACATATAACGGCCAATTAAAAGTCTGCCCCAGCTACCAAACGATGTAGAAGCTAGAAACTATAAGTAACCGTATTGCATTCAACAAAGAGAAAAACTCATACTGCATATCAAGCTCTAAAATGCCCTGAAAAAAATGTAAAGCAATTGAAACGAAAAAGAAATAACGGCCTGATTTGTGTACAAAACAATCAACAAAAAACAAATATGATATGGGCATAGATGCACAATTCATTGCAGGTAGGCGGTAATGGTAGCTTTGTTCTCCGTTCCTGTGCCCATATTGTAAACGTAGATATGTATGATAGCTCGTTTTGAAGCTGAGACATTTTCACATATGTGGTTACATTTTCGGGGTACTAAGTGATATTTATTTTTCCGTAATTTAGCACACACCGAAAAGCCTTTTGTGATGCGGCTTTTGGGGTAAAACATCCTTTTTTCACAACATTATTTCTTTGAAAATTTAGTTCCTTGCACACATTTAGTAGCTCCATAGTTTTTACACCTTTATTCTTTGGTCCTCTCAACTCAAAATCAGCACAAAGGGTTAAGCTCAGTCACTTGTTAAAAATTGAAACATGTCCAATATCACTGCACAGAGATTTTTCGTTAAAGCTACTTTTGAGTTCCTCAGTTTGGTGCGCATGACGGATATTGACCCATATACAGCAACAAACAACAACTACTTTATTTAATACCATAATGTTCACCACTTTAAGAAAATGCAGAAAGGAGATACATGTCAGTTATAATTAGCTGCCAAATTATTGAAATATGAATTGATTCAATGTGACATTTCCTGCCTCAATACATGTATTAATTAAATGTTTTCTTACTTGGCCACTTCACAATCGTTCCTAATAATGAAAGCTTAAGTCGTAATAAATTAATTTAACAAAATGTTACCGTCATGTATTGTGCTGGTATTTTGTCTTCTCTTTAGAATAATAAATGGCAAGACACTGACGAATGGATCTGCTCTAAATAGTACTGACCTAAGTTCCGATAAAGGTAAGACGATTTTTTTATGTCTTACTTATACACAATTTACAGATACATCTCCAAACTGATGGAGCATAAAATTAATGCGATGTATTGTAAGGTTATAACCAACTCTATTTAAACAAACTTGCTGAAATGTTTTATACCCGTATCAAGAAAGAGTGAGTACCCAGCTAATCTAAAAACCGCTTACACGGTACAACTCGATATCATAAATTTTCAGTACCAAATATAAATCATTTCTAAGTGCAAAAGCTATGTAGCAAAAAATTCATATAATATTTCAACGTATCGTCCTTTTACTTTAAGTACTTTAATTACGTTCAAGGCCAAGTATCACTGTATTACTCGTAACCCCGTAAACTTCCTGCAACGGTATTCATCACAAAGTTTCAGTCTCAGTAAAACTTGAAATTCTTGATACTTCTACTGTGTTTTTATACAGTTTAACAGACACGTTCTCTTAATGATTGGAGCTATCTTATATGTACCAAAAACAATAATATTTATCTAAACAAAGAAGCGCAAAAATTATCTTTATTATACACGTTCTACCGAAAATGAAATGTATTAATAGTAAACTTTTTGTGAAAAAAAACACTAATGAAAAAGTTGTCATTTTGAATTAAAACAGAGAACATAAATCATTTGTATACTTATCAGTTAATGAGAGCTCTCTTTGTAAAAATGGTACTGTACTTCGGGAAAAAAGTTGTATGCGTTGTGTGTTTTGTTGGTATGCTGTCTTAATGCTGTCTTATAGCATATGCCCTATACTATCCTTTTATCCAGAAGTATTAAAATCTTTAAAAAAAATATCGAAGCTTATGTTGAATAATTAAACTATATGATATAGAAAGATCTCAACAATGTTTATCCTTTTTGGAATTTTTCTTTAACTGTACGTTGGATGTTTATATAGATCTAGAGGCACCATTGAGCCGACATCGCAACATTTTTATCTTTCAATAATGTAAAATTTGTCTTCACATACTTCAATTAACCTAATTTTTGTTATCACAGTACTGTTTGTTCAATATTTTTTCATATTTTCGTATATTTTTGATAATTAAAAAAATCTTTTATGCTGGTTTATGTCCTTAACAGTGCAAAGTGAAGCTTTACACTTATAATGTTCTAAATAAATAAGGGGATTTATATTGTGTTCAACCAAATAAATATATTAATAAGTTATGAATAGTTGATATCAAATATCAGCAAATTTAATTTAGTAATCTCTGTCTGGAATTCATATTTTTTTTTAAGTTGTTCATGTTGTATCGGTATAAAAATTTATAGAAGGCTGACTTAAAAAAAGGCCTAACAACAAACCCGTTAAAGCAGTACTCAGGTAGTTACCGTTTTGATGAATGCATGGATATGTTAATTGAAGTCGATATGTTGTCTTCTATCAAACTGTGTTTTGATGTTCATCAACAACTATCAATACAAAACAAATCATACTAACCATGTCATCCATAACTTAATAGAAAGTAAGGAGATGTGGTATAATTGCCAAAGAGAAAACTATCCAACAGAGTCCAAAATGAAGTGGATTTAACGTTTATTAAATCGTAACATTTCAGGAACACTTCATCAAGGGTATTTGTAATATTTTCAAAATATTAAACCTTTGTCTATATAAAAATAAGATGTGGTATGATTGCCAATGAGACACCTCTCCACAAGAGACCAAATGACACAGAAATTAACAACTATAGGTCACCGTACGGCCTTCAACAATGAGCAAATCCCATACCGCATAGTCAGCTATAAAAGGCCCCGTAATGACAAATGTAAAACAATTCAAACGAGAAAACTAACGCCCTAATTCATGTACAAAATAAGGAACGAAAAACAAATATGTTACACAGCAACAATTTACAACCACTGAATCACAGGCTCCTTACTTGGGACAGGCACATACAGAATGTGGCGGTGTTAAACTCGTTTAAAGGCGCCAACCCTCCCCCTAACCTGGGACAGTGGTGTAACAGTTCAACATAAAAAACAAACTATAAAAAGCAGTTGAAAAAAAATTGTCTACCTGTTTTTATTTAAATCTCTATACTTTCATTCGACACAATATTCTTCCAACGAAAAAAACAAAAAAAAACAGAAAACAAAAAAAATCAGACTTATTGGCAACCATTGACGATTTACCTAAATTTGGCCAAGCACGTGAACACATGACCATGTTAAAATATAAAATATTATAATAAACATTGTCTTTACAACCTTGGAGCAGTGGAAACGTAAGTACAATCAAACAGTTAAACAAAAGCATTTACCTAGAAAATCGGTATTTACTATTAACCACCATAACACTTTTGTTGGCGTTTTTTTTAATTAAGGATGTACTCTGGTGAGGTGTAGGGATTTTAGTCAGACTCTTTCGGTTTTTTTCCTACTTAACAGGGTAAAATATTTTGCCCCATATCACCCATATTTCTTTTCATAGAAGACTTCAATAGCTCATAAAAAAGTCTTAACCAAAATTGAAAAAGATTCTAGATTTTTTTTCTTACGATTCGAGACCCAAATAATGCCAATGCTAAATATGAGGTAAAAGTCCGAGACAGCCTTTTCCCACATTTTTTAAAAATCAAATATCTCAAAAAGGAGTTCCATAACCTATAATTTGTTTAGCTTATTTTGTTCCTTAACTAATGCTCTTCTGTCTTATAGTATCAGTTTTAAATTCTAGATTTTTTTTACTTCACCTAAGTACATCCTTAACTGAGTTATTTAACAAAAAGCAAAATAACAGCGCTTTTATTTGTATACCTAAAAATAAGAGGATGTGATATGATTGCGAATGAGACAACTCTTCACAAGAGACCAAATGACATGTAAGTTAAGAACTACAGGTCACCGTACTGTACGTTTGGTTTATTTTTTTATTTTTTTTTGTCAGTTGTGTTACATGTCTGTAATGTTTGTTGAAACAGTTTTGCTGCTGGATCTCAATTATTTTCACATTAAACTATTATGTCTGTTTGGGTTGCTCATCCAATTTTGTCATTATAACAAAACTATTAACAACTGTCATACAAATGGGAGGTTTAGCCAGCTATAAAACCAGGTTTAATTCACAATCTTTTGGCAAATGTCTGTATCAAGTAAGAAATATGACATTTGTTTTCCTTCCTTTCCGTTGGTTGATAAAGTTTAACTTTTATTTGTTTCAATTTTTATGGACTCTACCTTTTCAAATTTACCGTGGAGTTTTTTTTACAAAGATAAAAACACCGGTAAAAAATAAATAATAATTTTACCTTATCAATAAATAGACTATTTTCATATTACCGACTTTTGACTCCGGATTATATTATTTTTCGACATGCTACCTACTCTATGGTAGGACATTCCGGCACTCTGTCAGATAAGGGCAACCAGAAGAAGGAAAATCAAACATATAATCGGTTCAATTTGGGGGGAAAGTTAACTGTTTTCCAATGATTTTGTGTAAAGAAAATATAAAACAATTGATTTTCCATCCAAATTGTACCGATTGTAAGCTTGATTTTACTTCTCTAAGTCGCTCTTATTTGACTTGATCGGGTACCAGGATGTCCTACTACAGGAAAGATAACCTGTCGAAAAAATATAAACTCCGGAGACAAAAGTCGGTAATATGAAAAAAATCTATTGCCATAAATGTACATGCAGTTGCCATTATCTGTCTCAAAGTACTTAACAGTTTATATAGGAAAATATACGTACTACAAACACACGAGTAACAATAAAAAATAATACAGTACACAATATTTATGAATGATCGTACATGTTTGCCGATAACCGCCTCAAAATTCTTAATTACTAATGGAGAATGAGTATAAACTATTCTTATATCCTTAAATGGACTACTTGATTGGATTCTAAGAAAATACATCACAACGGTCCAGAAAAAAAAACCCATTATGTCTACCTAAAAAAAAAGATAACGCATTGTTCTCAATTTCTACTTACAACTTGAATAACAATTATTTTTTGTTGTAAAGGGCAGATTATTAATTCCTCGTGTGAGACTACATATCAGTGTTTTGGGAAGCTGGTTTGTGTCAATGGACAATGTCAGTGTTGCGAAAACCACATCTGGAACGGTACAGACTGCATTAATGGTATTAACACATGCGATTATAATGACGACAGTGAAAACATTATCTATTATAAATATTGATAAATGTCACTTTAATAATAGTTTAAATTACACAATATTCATGCATCTGGTTATGGTCTCTCTTCAATCATTTGTTTTAAATTTAGACAGCAAGCTTAACTTTACCGGTGTTCAAATCTTATAAGTCGAGTAAGAACGCAAATTAAAGTAACAAACAAAAATCAAGGAAATTGCAAAAGGATCTGGACCGGGATGAAAGCATCCTGCTATGCTTAATATGGTAATTGAAATTGTAATTGCTTAAACATACATCAATATTTTGTAAAATGATGATTAACGTTTTGTTTTCAATAATTGTTTTCTTTTGCATTACACATATGCATAAATAAAAACATCAATAGAGAATGGACACAAAATACTAGAATATTGATTTTCTTTCAATAACTTTACACATGGTGAACAAATCTGTCCTGTATAACATTGATATATTAAGATCATATGCGATAGCAATTCGGCACTTTTGTCGAGAAAGTGGACTCCGGTTATGTGATTAAATGTTTTAAACCATAATAAGTATAATTCAAACATTTTCAATTTATAATTTCAAAAGTATTTATATGCACGTATGTATTTTAAATACTTTTTATTATATTTTTTAAGAGAAAACTTTTAAATCAAAATGCAAGCATACTACAGAATGCGGGACAACATTGTTCTGTATATATGGTACCTGTCAATGTGCACAGATGCACTACTGGAATAGGGATACCTGCTTAAGTAGTAAGTAATAATTATGTCAAACATAAACATGATTCCCGACGTAAAACATCACGAGCACATTTGTAAATGAGAGTTTTGAAATCAATGTAAGAGAAATATTTTCGATAAGATAGAGGTGTGTTGGAGAATTTATGGAAAGGTCGCATTGCTGGCGCTAGAATTTAAAAAAGAAAAACGTGTTTTGAATGTAACAAACAATATCCTCCAGATGTCAGTGTTTTTAATGTTGAATACTTCAAACAATATGTAGTTGATGGGGCATTAGGTGCAATTCAGACAAAAAAAATAATTTTGGTTTCAAGCAATTTTAAAAGTGTAATATTGAAATAATATTGCGCTATTAGCAGTCACTTTGGGTCAATTTGGTCAAAATTAGATAACAGAAAATCATCACAAATGTATAGGCTTGCAAGTCAACAACTCAACCTCGTTGAATCCGTTTTCATGTAACCATATCTTAACCTTTAGCTGAAGATCGGTTACGCATGCCCTAAACGTGTTCAGTTATTAAAAAGAAACGAAAGTCAACATTGAACAGTGACACAAGGGAGCCAACACGAACAAATCGTCTTTAACCGGTTCGGCCTACAAGAAACCATTCATATACAGGTAAAACTTTTTTTTTATAATTTATGACATGAAATCAAACTAACCTGGAAAATTATAATTTCATAACTCTACGAGTCTTTAGTTTTCTATGTTGTGTTTTGTGTACTATTGTTTGTCTGTTTGTCTTTTTCTTTTTTAGCCATGGCGTTGTCAGTTTATTTTCGACTTATGAGTTTGAATGTCCCTTTGGTATCTTTCGCTCCTCTTTTACGAGCTTATACGTCTATTTATATTTATATTTATGTTTATATTAGGTCGAATGACTATAGGCTGTCGTAGAAGGTAACCTCGATGGTCAATTAGATGGCGTCTAGTCTAAAATACGCACGAAATGATGATACAATATAACGAGTGCATGCATTGTTAAATGCTGTTTTTTTTTTTTTTTTACTTTTTGCAATTTGTTATTACGTTTTAGTATGTTGACAATTATATATAAGAATTTTAGTGAAATCGGTGATCATGAATTTAACAGCTAATGGTCCTTTCAGGCCTACAAACGTCTTTAAATGAAAGAAATACAAATAACCTCAAATATTGTTATTAATGTTTTAACCTTATCATAATTAATGGTTTGCTTTAAGTTGTCATAACGGCAGTTGTTTGTACTTTCACTTACATTACTTTTTGTTAAGGAGAGGCGAAAGATACCAGAGGGACATTCAAAGTCATAAGTCGATAATAAACTGACAACGCCATGGCTAGAAGAAAAAGACGAACAGACAAACAATAGTACACAAAACACAACATAGAAAACTAAAGACTGAGCAACACGAACCCCACCAAAAACTGGGGGTGATCTCAGGTGATCCGGAAGGTTAAGCAGATCCTGCTCCACATGTGGTACCCGTCGTGTTGCTCATGTAAGAACAAACTCGTTAATAAGTCTAATTCGGAAGGTCACATTCGGGAAAAGAAGACGGGATTGTAGTTACGACATAAGGAACATATCCGCTATCATCGGTGAAACGGATATTCCATATTGTTAAATGTTCATTTTTTTTCCAAATACAAAACTATGTTAAATTTACGTAGTTTCGAGTAATAAAGATATCAGAAATACCAGTTTAGAACTAATGTTTTTAGACTATACAGTATCATCTTTTTCATCAGTTATTCATTAACGTTCAAATTTAACATGATTTTAACGGAAATACAAATTTAACCAAATTTTGCATTTCTTGGAGTCAAAAAATTACCTTTACCATACTTTCTCTTCTAAAATATCTCAAATCTAATTGTACAGTCCTGCATTACGAATAAGTAATCTTTTATCCCACACACACAAAAAATCTAAATACACTGTGTAGCATATGTAAAAAACAGTTTCATAAATTAGAATTTTGGATTGTTCATTTATACATACCCCATGAAATTCTGCATTTACTTGCAATATATACTAGGTCGATACCATTCATGACGGACTGTTAGTCCCCTACGTATAATCAACTCAGTAGTCAATGTTTTGGTACTTATTGAATTATTGAAGGTGCCATTTGTCTTCATTGTTCCTTATGAAGTAAATACGGAAAATCGCGTCGGACGCACGGACTTTACAAAGTGTTAATTGTATTTGACCGCATTAGTTAAAATGGATCATGTCTGTTTTTCTAATTGTCAAGGGGACAACATAAGAAAGAATACCGATTTTCCGTGAACACAACTGCAAAGATTTATCGCGATGATATATAAAAGAAAGCAAATTTCAACATTCGTTTTATATTTGTAAATCTAAAATAAAAGAAATTAACTTATTGACATTGTTCCAAATTCAAGAATTTTTTTTTACAGAAAAGACTGCTAATGATACTTGTACAAATTCAAATGAATGCGGTGCAAAACTCCTTTGCGAAGATGAAATATGTCAATGTCCTGTCGATTTATTTTGGAATGGAAACAAATGTATATTTAGTAAGTAACATATTTACATTAAGATCTAAAATGTCATACCACTTTCAACGCTAAAAATGAAAGCATTTAGTAGATCTAACCGATTTGGAATCATTTGAGCGTAACATACTATTGGTTTGATGCGTATTAAATTGATTGCTGTTCCATTTATTTCTATTTAAGGCTATATAATTCAGCAGGTAAACATTTTTCAAACAAATTCAAAATAATTACAATTGCCATTGTATAAAAAATAGTTTCAAGATGTCCTCCTATCTAAATGCTGTTATTTCCACAGGCTGCTATTCACATATTCTACATATAACTGCATCAAGTGGGTAACGAGATTTCAACACTCAAATGGAAGTCAGCTACATTTTTATTTAGTAACTCTAGGCTTGCCCATCCTTTTTATAATGTTCAAATTTAAACTTCTGGGAAATCGTATTAATTCTAATCGGAGCGCAATCCGTTGCGTAGACAGAGTAGGCGTTCATTGTGATGCAAACAACGCCTAACAAATTCAGACCAGTCAAAATGTCACGATAGGGAATAGTATACAATTTTTAAATTGACAGATCGGACGACTATTCTGGTATATCATATATCTCTTCGTCGAATATCACACGACATTACACATGAAAATTTATTTCTCTAAACAAAAATTTCGAAATATAGGCTTTAGAGTTCATTTTAAAAATCCTCAAAAGTATTCCTTCTACTTTGAAACGTCATTAGGCATGGTTGCCTTTATTGACATGAGTTTTCACAATGATTGGATGGTTTGTTAACACCATTTTCATAATTAGGCATCCATGTTAACATAGAAATTCAGCTTGTCTTCAATTTCAGAACAATTGGTTGGACATTCATGTAGATCTTCTACAGAATGTGTAGAAAATCTCCAGTGCAGGCAATCTTTGTGTAAGTGCTTAGAATCTGAGTATTGGGACAAATGGAAATGTTTTACGAGTAAGATATTTATTATTACGTGCATTTCTATTGTCTTCCCTGTTTTGTACATTCTCGGACGTTTAACGTTCAAGCCTATAAATAAACAAAAACGAAGACAACTCACCATATCAAAAAACATTATTTGACTCTTAATACATGTCATATTAAATATAGATTTATACATTAAAGTGGTTATCTAAAAATTGTGTTTACCCATTAGGTCTGTCTTTGAATGTTGCGCACTCGCAGAGGACCACGACGTCCCGTATTCGAAATTTAGTTTTATCTATCTGCAAAATTTGATGGTCATTAGGAAGCTTCAATTGATGTCCAATGTGGTTATATAGCTCCTCACGTATTCACATATTTATATATCCTCAGTTTTCAGATGTTAGGTTTTTAGCGTTCCTGGTAAAGTTAAAAAGAAAAAGAAAAGCACTTTGGACGCACGAAATTTATAACAGTGTTATTTTCATTTACATTAGGTCTACACCGTCTTATCGATAAAGGTATATTACTGCGATTCTGATTTATCTTTTTGTTATTTATTTTATGTTCGAATGTCATAATTGCTAAACACTTTTTTTTTCTTCTTAATGTGATATGTTATCAGTTTGTCATATTCTTGAATTTGAGCTTTGTTACTTGTTACGAACAAAATTGTCTGCAGGATGATACATGTTGAATACATATACCTTTGTTTTCTTGTATGTACATGTACCTCGACTTAAAAAATGTCTGTGATCCTAACTGACATTGGTATATTGTTTACACAATAATTTTTTTCTTCAGAAAAATACATTGATGAGGTATGTAGGAAAGAGGAGGAATGTGGAACCACTTTATATTGTGCTAGGAGTGTATGTCAGTGTGCATCGTCTGACTATTGGACAGGATCAACGTGTTCAATAAGTATAAATCTTTTGTGAGAATTATATTACACTGGATTTTAATTTATCCGTAACTAATATAAGGGGTTTGGTGACAAAAGCAATTTGGAAAAAATTCAACCCGAACATTTTCTTACTTTTGTTCAAATAAAAAAGGTAGGAAATTTTATAATTCATAATATAAGTTAAAATAGAAATATTTAATACAAAAAGAGAATTTTTGTACCAATGAAATCCAAGAATAGGAAGTTTTTTAGTCTTTTAAGTTATCATTGCCAGTGAATAACTGTTTTTACCTGTCGGAAAGCTGGAAAAGGGGTAAAATGTGTAAAAGGAAATAAGGAAAAAACTAAAACGATGATACAAAGCAAAACAAAATAAGAATATTGAACAGACAGAATGAATGATAGTGATATCTATAATGGAGCAACTCTTAAATTATGTGTACATGTATATACATTAATTCGTGATAAATCAATGCGATAGCAAACTGTGGCAAAATAGAAATTCATTTTTCACTTATGCATTAATGGTGATTATGTCGCTTTTAGGTGCTTAAAAATAGAACAGCACATATATTTAATAATGTTTAATATAATGTGCTTTCAGAAAAAGACGAGAATTATCTTTGCAATTCGTCACTTGAATGTAAAGCAACATTACAATGCAGAAATAATCGTTGTGTTTGCTGTGAACAGGACTACTGGAATGGACAGTTATGTGAGAAAAGTAAGATTTATAGTTTTAAGATAAAATTTAAGCCCGGGGGCTTTATTCTGAATCAGACTTAGAATTAAATTTACAAATATGGCATGAATTCATCAAGTTCATTTCAATTACAAAATTGAACAAAACTTAAACTAGCTTTTGTCTTCAATAAAATTAATATGAATAAGGAGACACTGCACTAGATCATAAACCATAAAAGTAAGTAGTGGTACATTGTATATCTTAGTAGCTTAACAAGTAGCACACAAACATATATATGCTCCTTGTCAGCAAAATGAATAAGGATATCGAAAATAAATTAATCTGCATATTATAGAATGGAATACATATTTGTTACACAATAAAATGCGACAAGTAAATGGATAATAAGATTTGAGCTTAAAAAGAGTAAGTTTATCGTTAAGACTCTACCAGCTCTACAATTTAGTAGTATATCATGCTGAAACAGTACTTGCGACACTAGAAATCGAACGAACTGCTGTTCATTTCAGATAGCAATCATGTCACAACGTTAACAATTATAAGTTTATGCTATTAGAATTGTGTTTGAAACCATCAGATTTACTATTTTTTGTCAAAAGAAGGATCATAATTTTGAACTAATAATGTTTATTTTTTTTCGATTTATTGTGAACATCGATTAAATTTTGTAGAATATATTAATGAGGAATAGAATCATGCATGATTCTACCGTTTATTTTTTCTCTATCGTTTATTCACACAGTTTCCAAGGTTAATGATTAAAACAGTTAACCGTAATCAGTTTTCGTAAAAGCCAAAATGATGGCCAGTCGATGTTTTTCTACACATTAACACAATTTCAACTTTTCACCAAATAACAACATAATTTAATACCTACTATAAATCTTTGTTTTTTTTTTTTTTTTGTTCATAATTACTCGTAAAACTATTCTTTAAATTCTGTTAGGTAACAATTATATGTAAGTCCCCAAAAGTATTGTCGATAAATCACGAATTTCACGCAAATAAAACTCAACCAAACATACAGGACAATTTTTTTTCGAAATCAACTACCTTAATTTTACAATTAACCGTCATATTGAAAGATGCATAATGATTTGGGGGTCAAAAACTCCACAGCTCAAACTAAAGTGTTTTTCTCAGCGACGTGTCATGTACGTTTTAATCAAAACTCAAACATAGACTTGAGATTTATCTAACTATTCGGAATGTCATGTATAAGTTCAAGATAATTGCACAATGTTCAAAATATCAGTTATGAACAAATGAGAATGAATCTCATAAAATGGAATTCATTGCTAATAAGCTAGATATATGTGGTATGTAAATTGTAAGTTGTAAATGAAAATGGCACTTTATAAATGTCGTGCGTCCGAAGCACTTTTCTGGACTGACCTTTACCATGAACGTTCAAACCCAGTATGTATAAATGCGTAGAAACGTTAGGAGATATATTACTAAGTAAACTCATCACCAAAGGGAACATAAAAACACAGTTAAAATCATCTAAGGTTAATTTTGCCTGAGGAAATTGGAACTTTAGTGTTTTTTTTATAATTTCTTTATTTATCAATGTGGAATTTAAGAATAGAAGGCTATATAAATCTTGTTAGTACCGAAGCACCGACTAATGAGCTGATGATACCATCGGGAACTAAACTTACCAGCAGCGGTATCAGTCCAGAGCTAGGAAATGAAAAGATAGTTTTTTAATTTCGTGTATGTTCATATTCTATCTTTCAGTTTTAACATCCCTTAAATTCATATTACCTGAACTCGCTTTTATTTTTTGAAAGGTAAGTGTGCTTTTGAACAGTGTTTGAATGGTGGCAAATGTCTGATATCTGAAAACAGACACAGATGTATATGTGTGGACGGCTATCTTGGTGATAACTGTCAGTATGCAGGTAATGATATTAACGGTGTTTTTTTTTTTTTTCTTCCTTTTGAAGTTATACGCATTACAATAAGTGATAACGATTGATGCACATATTTTGTTATAGCCCTATCTGAAGTATGTCATAATGGTATCAAGCTAGAAAGCACGCATCAATTTTAAAGATAAAAATTATTGGGACGTTATAATTTACCAGTCATCGATCCAATACTTTGTGCAGAAAAACCCCAATTTTAGATACTATGTAAATGTCCATCTATTTTATGTTTCAAAATTGTGAATAAATTACTAATTTCTAACACTAGAAACAGTCTATATTTTCATAACATTAAATAGCAAAATTGTAATTGATATCATTATAGATATCCCTTTTTCTGGTCAACAGATGCAATAATATTACCCATACTTTCAATTGTTATTTTTTTTTGCCGGGTTGTAAATAATAGAATATAAATACGTATTGACAAGCAAGGTTAATTTTAAAATAAGATATACATTTATGCAATTGCGAAATAAACGTATATGTTTTGGAAGAAATTGGTATTAAGGAGAATTACATTTGTTATTCGGTGTAAATCATAACAATCTGTAGTAGTGTTCAATATCTGTGATGACTCTTGTTATCCTATTTGTGAAATATATTCTTTTAAAACAATAAGTTAAATTTATATCAATATTAATCTGTCTTTGTGACAAATGAGTATAATTAATCCAACACTTAGAGCTAACTTTTTAGTCAATATCGTCTTCAGGAACACATTACAGGAGGATACATTACTACTAGTTATACAGATTTAGACCTGAACAGTTTGACTTCTATCAAATGGATGCTTAATACCGAATCAGAATACTTTGCAATGTTATAACTGTGAAATCTATCACAATTTCTTTTTTTAAATATTTATATTGATCTTTTAAATTTAGTTTAATCATAAAAATGTTCAACGTTGTTCAACAATTTTTTGCAGGCGTCATCCGATTTCGCAATTAAGCATATTGTATTTTACAGACATTATGAACGTCTTGTTTCCTCCTAACCTTGCAATTACCTCATAATGTGATCACAGCGAGTTAAATTTCATACGAAATCTGTTATTTTATAAATGTCCCGATTTCTCTAATTGACAACACATTTCATATTAAAATGTTATAGTAAGCGTTAAGGATAAAGAAAAGTATAAAACTACAAACTGTTGTTATAATGTAATGAAATGAAAGTTATACCTTTATTAAAACATATAACATAAACTAGTGAATATATTTGATTGAAGATATCAGCAGTCTGTTGTTTTTACGCATGTTTTTACGTTGTAGTATTTGTATTTCTATATCGGCAATAGCCTTAAGGATGCAACCATATAATTTGCCTATAAAATGCAATTTGTAACGCCGCTGTTGTAGTTAAAAAATCATGGTGAGATAAACAGCGATTTATATATATTTTTTGTTTTCCTAAAGTTATACCTGTTCATCAAACTTTAAAGAAAAGTCCCTTTCTCCTTATTTTGTCACTGCGCGAATATTGTTTTTTTAAGCAAACATTTCGTAGTAAAACTTTCCAATTTCTTGTTCTTAACTATTCGGATTATTTTATTGATACGTGTAAACAAAAGATAAATATTGTTATTGTTTCTATATTGATGCACGTAGTATCAGTTTTAAAACTTTGACTTCTTTTTCGAAAGATAATAAACAACTTTTTAATTTTTATTTTTTAAACCTTTTGCAGATGGAAGAGAGAAAGATTTTATTGTGATATTTCACCAAGCATACAGCAGCCCATCACCAAGAATATTACCAGCAGTTAACAGAAGGGGGGAATTGTCTATTTTCTATTTCGCAAACAATAAAAATGTTTCAGTAACATTGGATTCAGCTTATAGTACTTATATCCTTGATTCCAATGTATTAATGACAAATGGTTTACACCAGGCTGGAGTAGAAATACATTCCAATGTCCCGATCCTCCTTTATGGATTTATTTTTCTTCCCGAATTTTCCGAAGGATTTTTTGTTCTTCCAACTCGATTTGTATCTGTAGATTATGTCATTCCCTCGTTCACTGTATATAACAGCATATGTCAGAGTGTATTTGCCTTATCTTCTGTGTATTCAAATACAGTAATAGAAATAAACTTTAAAATGAAAGATGGAACAATTTCCTATGACAACATACAATATTCTAACAATCAAACATTAACATTAGTACTCAATAAGTATACATCATTTCAAATGTTTCACTCGTCAGACTTAACGGGGACAAGAATCATTTCATCTAAGCCCGTTGTTGTCGTCAGTGGAAACAGATGCAATTATATTGATAAAAAAATTAGTAGCTGTCAGCCGTTCATTGAAATGGTATTACCCACAAATCAACTAGACAATCTTTACGTGATTCCATATCTAAATTATCGACCTGAAAATACAGTTCGCGTGCTTGCTGTAAATAATACAAACGTAGTGTTGAAGAATGGTAACCATCGCACCACAAACGTTCTAAAATCTAGAGACTTTCTGGATTATTTCCATACACATATTTCATATGTATCATCTGCAAGCGATGTGATGGTACATATTTACCCGCATGAGCTATCAGATAAGCATGGAGATGCCTTTATGATGACAATTCCCGGAATTAACCAGTACATGCAGTACCTGTATGATTATGATTTCATGGTTCCAACAGATTTTGAAAGTTTCATCAGCATCACAGTTGCAACAAACGCAGTCGATGGCTTTGTACTTGACGGTAAATTCGTGAATTTAAAAAATATTTTCAGCATTTCCCAAGAGGAATATCGCTTCAGTAGTTTTAGCATCCCTATATCTAGTGGACCACATCACATCACCCATAGAGAGAAGACACGTTTTGGTTTGTGGGTCTACGGAAATTACACTAACTATGAAGCGTATGGATATCCAGCAGGAATTGCTTTTAAAACATAAACTGTGCCGATAACTACTTAATTATGACAAGCATTACTTTTAGTTTTAAGTTTAAGAATTTCAACAGTAGGATGTAAGAACGTTGTTAACTATAGTAAAAAGGAAATTTATTTACCTCTAGGTGTTACCTGTACATGGGTAAAGGATGTCCTCTTTTTAAATGAAAATAATGGCTGTTTTCACTGTAGCATATTACATTATTATATGTTATCCCTTTGTAAGTGTTATTTTTGTAAATCATGTATTTAGTACTTGTTATTTTGAATATTTGATAAAGATGGAGACCCGTATCTCATACTCTGTATCGCATACCCCGTATCGCATACCCTGTATCACACCCCTTTTGGAACATCTCGAGATTGTTTCCGGATTCCCTCAGTTGTTACCCGCTTCAAATTTCAGAAGACGACAATTTCGGTCATGTTAATGAGGGTGTGGAAAAGGGGGGGGGAGTCCTTCATTTTTGTATTCTTTATTTTTTAGACCATTTTTCTCTATTCTTTATAAATCTTGCCTGTCATTCTCTATTCTTTATACTTTAGCACCCTATAGTATTCTCTTTTTTTTTTTTTTTTTTGGCGTATTTTTCTCTATTTTTTATTTTTTTAGCCCTTTATTCTGCACATTTTTCCCATTATGCTCTATTCTGTAAACCCAATCCAGATCCTCGTTAATCGTCTTCATGCAGCCGGAGGGACACATGTGTCCATATATTAAGGGTATGTTAGCACTTATATTTTTTTTTATATTCCACTGATGAGCTTTCAGAGCATATTATTAACAACTTATTCTGTGGTCACAGTGGCCTGATACTGATGTAGGTTTTCTTCTAACTGTACTGGTTCTTAAATGTATGCTTTATGCCACTTTATTTTAATTTTCCGATTGAGATCGAGTAACCGAATTTGAATGCTGTACAGAGATCGAAGGATAACATTTGACCAAACTGAGTTATCTGATAATAGTGGGTTTTATAAGTTGAATGTTATTGCATTGCTCCTTAATTATGATCATCATCTAAATTTGCACTTAGTCTATCAAATTCTTGATATTTCAAAATTTTAAATTTCAACATTTTAACTCGAAAACGTGACTTTAAATATCTTGACATTTGACTTTGAAAACTCGACTGAAATTTGACTTCAACACTTTTGACGTTTGAATAATACTTAGTATTAAAATTTGGACACTGTTCTTGTTTAACATATTCATTACCTGATTGAGAAGTTTCGACACATATTTGAAACCATTATTCAATATAAAAATAAGATGTGATATGATTTCCAATAAGACAACTCTTCACCAGACACCAAATGACATAGAAGTTAACAACTATAGGTCACTATACGGCCTTCAACAATGAGCAAAATCCATACCACATAGTCAGCCCCGAAATGACAAATGAAAAACAATTCAAACGAGAAAACTAACGGCCTGAGGTATGTACAAAACAATGAACGAAAAACAAATATAATATACAGCAACATACGACAACTACTGAATTACAGTCTCCTGACTTACGACAGGCACATACAGAATTCGCAGGGTTAAATATGTTTGCGGGCGCCAAACCGCCCCACTTACATTTACCTGGGACAGCGGTGTAACAGTGCAAGATAAACAAACTATAAAAGTCATTTAAAATGGCTTTACTCCTCCGATCGATATAAAGCAGAAAAAACAAGTAATAAAAACATAGGTTGCTATATTGATATCAAGAAATTCCTCTTTCTTCAACTCAACATGTGAATAGGGAAACTTGAAAAAGAAATATGTGTATACTTAACAGCAAAAGAAATGCACCAATCTCACTGATTTTTTTCCTTGAGCCATAAACATCCAATTTTTTTTCAGAATTTAGTTTTGACTTCTCAATCCCAAAACAAGAAATATGGACGCATTTGTGAAAACTGAAGTCGCATGTATCTATTAACCTGAAAACATTGTTTCTTCTCAAGTGCAATTAAGACCACTAAACAAACATTTCTCTACAAGCCCACGAATTAATTTCATGGTTATGCTTAGAATATACTGGTGTTTCCCAAATGTTAAGCAAAAACAAGAAAGTATGAAACTACTATACATGGGAAGAGGTTGTACTTTATTTACTTTGTTGAGTGTTGTTGGAGGAGACTCTTGGAAGGTATAAAATATACAGCAGACCAACACCATACAGCAGCTCTACCTCAACCCAATAGCCAATGTTTTTGTTAAATGCTGATGCATAGAACAAATCTGATCATGTGTGACCCGCCATGGCATTTCCAGGCTTAATGACGTGAAACGTCATTTGTTGGGAAAAAATGCGTATAGTGAACTATTCGTCACAAAATGTATGGAATAAAACAGATAGATTAAATTATGATTTTCAAATAAAATATAACATTTTGGTTAAAAAGAGAAATTTAACACACCCAGTTACACGAATTTAGGAACTTTAAAATAAGGAAAAGCATCTGAACCAAATTTGTTCTTCCGTATTCTTTTTCTAAGTGTATCATGTTTTCTAAAAAAAAATTGGTTAAATAACCATAGCTATAATAGTGATTATCCCAGACGTATCTTTATATTATATCAATCATTTCAAATTGCGATTCATAATCAAGATATTTATGTTTAATTTCAGAGTGTTGCTTAACATTATACAGATGTCTTTAATTGTTGCTTAAAATCATATAGATGTCTGTAACTAATCAATATAAAATTAATGGGATGTGATATGTTTGTCAATAAAACAACGATCCTAAAAATTCCAAATCAATGAGCAAAACCTATACCGTATTAAACATTTTGTATTTTGTCACAATAAGTAATTAAACTGTTTGTCTGTGAAAAGCTAGCAATGTATTGCATTTATACTTTTTCTTTTGTGTGCTGTTTTATTTTCGTGTGTCTTTTCAAAAGTATACATATTCGCAGCTAATTCCAACGGAGGAATGGCGATGTGCTACATACAATTTTTGTTATGTTCTTCTTAAATACATATGACAGTGTGTAAATCTTGATATTAATTATTAAATCAAATGTGGCAATATATGAGAAATCTTAACTACTTTATTGCGTTGTTGTATCTGCATTGTATTCCAGCGACTCGAATCTTTGTCGGTACAAGCATGTTCGCATCGAGTGAGTGAGACTGTTGGTTCGATCTCCGCCCATGTCAAACTAATAATATGTTCTTCTAAATTACCTTGTTGCTATTTCATAATAATCGTCCTGAAAAAAATGTAACATTTGCAACATTTCAATGTATAAATGAGTCCTGACAGAACCTGCTGAACAAGTTAATAATTTTCTGTTAATTTATTTTGCGTGATAATTCAAATGTTGCATATTAAAAGTGAAATGGAATACCAAATGAATATCAAATCTAAATGTACAGAGGTATGTTTAAAAGCTAAATATTACAAGTTAAGATAAATGTCTGAATGACTATGAAAATGACTTATGACACTTACATTATACACAGATTAAGATTAAACGTCCGTATTCCGTGAGAAAAGAAGGTTTTGATGTATTTAGATATGTCATAAAACCACTGTACACACACTTCCATGAAAACAGGAAAGTGGTTTCTGATGTCCTTCATCTTTATGTAACAATCAAGCCGTCAACATCGACGGACAAAAAATACCATCATTGTTTTTATAACCGAAAATAGAAATAAATGAAACACACATTAGTCGTAATTCAAATAAATGATTGCATTTTGTGTCTTTTAAAAGGATTCACCGTACCTCATTTAGAGACATTTTATCTTACTGGTCAAAAAATATTTACAAAAACCATAAAAAAGGTTTGTTGTTCTTTGTTCTCTTAAAAAACTAATGAAAGATTGAGAACAAAACAGATGTTGGTACAAAACAAACATTGAAAACGTTATTTTGTCTGTTCAAACTTGACAATATCTTGATCCACAGCAATTAGATTTGTTACAATTACTTATGACCTGTCGGTTTTTATTGATTTGAAAGAGGTTAAAACGTTATCAACGTTATCTCCTGTTTATTTAGTATAGTATCTTGTATATTGTATCAATGAATATTTAGAATGTAGAATAATTAGCTCTCTGTACTTGTACCAGCTGTTTAATTTTTACAGGTCAGTTTTTTTAAGCTATACTGCAAAAACGATAATGTGTAGCCAAACTTGGTAACATCATGTTCTTCTACTAAAATATGAGTCATTGTTTTCTATTAGTGATCATTGTATACATGTAGCGATAAAAAAGCAAGTGATGATTCTTAAGTTCAGATGCGAAATAATCAAGTACTAATAGTATTGTGGGTTTTGTTTGTATCTTATTATCAAGGATGTGTACTCATATATCGTTTAATTCGCACTCAGATCTGGATTGACGTCTCACTTTAAATAAAGCAATATTCTGACTGCAAAATAACCTCTTCAATAACTATAAGAATATCATACATGAAGTGGTTTAATGTTAAAGAAAAACTTCAAATTTGAACAATGAAGTTGTATTTGATGTGCAGTAATTAATGGCGTCGTTTTATAAATCAAACAGGCAATAGTACATGAACTGTCCTTCAATCTTTCATTTTGGATTATTAAAATTATTTGTAATGAGTATGACTATGATAATACTGTAAAACAATCACCTTTTAAACACAAAATTTACTTTCTTTAACAAAAGCCGTTGTCTATGCTAATTTTGAGGTTGGACAGCGGCAGATACTACTATGTAAGACGACATGGTTACAATATAAAAAAAGAGGGGAGATACAAATGGGCAATTGAAAACAATAACTAGAAGAAAACAGCCAAAATAAATAAAAACGCTAAACAAACAAAACACTTATTTAAGATACAGAACAAAAACAAAAAAGTGTTGTTTAAGTATTTCGAAAGGTCAGCTTTTCCTTCTCCACCTTAATTCTTGACGCAATCATGAGAAGTTTGGTTAGCTTTCATCAATTGTGATTTTTTTTGCTGTAAAAAATCACCAGTGTCTTCAGATGTCTTGAGACATTGCGTATCTTTATTAAATATGTGTCCACATATAATTTGTTTAAAAAATGACGAGCGATTTATACATTTTCATCACAATAACCATCAAATTAAAAAAAACAAAACTCATTTCGGTACAGTTTATTTAAAAAGAACGACGAAAACATGGAAAAGGCAAAATAAGTTTAACAAAGAGATCACACATATAGATACATATAGCGAACATTTATATTTTTTAATTGCTGTAATTGTATTACTTTGTTTTCGTATTTCCTGTATATTTGTATTTAATCATTAACGTTGACAACAAGGTCTGTATGTT